ATTAAGGTAAAAGGCCCAGTTTCTGACACTCTAAGAGTGACAGCTGAGATTATATTACGATAACTAAAATAATATTTAATTAGAATAAATAATTTTTATACTATAAACAAGTTCAGAGTTTCTAGAAAAACTCATATACGCGATATAATTATTTGAAGCGAATTAGTAATTTTAATTAATGATTTAAAAAGTGATGTTTGAAGACCCAGTTTCTGACACTTAAAATTTCTTGTATTGTATTTTATTTTATTTTTATACTTATATAATGATTATTTCACTGATTGAATCGTCGAACGCGCTTCCGTAATTTGCTTAGACCATAACTAAAAAATGGCTTCCGCAGTCACTCCACACTTAAAGATTTTTTTTATTAAGTTTTCTTATTTTTTATTATTGTGCTTGTCATTAATTAGGTACAGAATAAATTTATTTTAATTTTTAAAAAATTTATTAACCCACTTAAGATTTTGTTTTTTTTTTTTAATTCAACATAAACCTAAAATTGTGAGAAACTGGGCCAGAGTCAATGACTGGGTCTTTTACCTTACCACGTCTAAACTTGTTGGGCACAACTTGTAAACTTTCTTACTGTCCTTCCTGTCATGTCTCAAAATTATTTAGTTCCCGTAAGAATACAAGTTAATTTGTATAATGAATATATTTTAAACTATTCACCTAATGCCGTTGAAACTATGCTAGAATTTTTAAACACTATTATCTTGTTTCATCGAAATTTTCACCATATTATTTTTCCCTGATGTAATCTGTAATTTCTTTTGGAATTTGAATACAGATGTATAGAAAATAGGCTTTTGTAATAACAGTTTTCCGTAGTGTCTAACCATTTTGCGTATACGACAGTCATCTTAAATTTGTTCTTCTTGATAAAATCGATTCTAATACAAGTATTCATAAACTTATTTACAAAATATGGAAATTTAGAAAATTCTAAAACGGAAAAACTCAAAAGCAGACAGCCTTGCGTTGACAATGCCACATTCTAAGTGGGCGAAACACGTGTCGGGTTTTATAAAATAGTCTATGTTATATAAGGATGAGCCACTTTGATATTATTCTATTATCTTACGACTATCTTCTTTATCTACTATCCCTTTTTTACATAGTATTATTGCAATAGTTTGCCGTTGGTTACACAAAAGGCTTCCCACCGATTGCAGCGTAAATTTAATATGACAAAGCAAACTGTTATGCATTTGTAAAAAGACAATGTCTGTTTCCGCGTTCTATTTATAGTTTGTTATTCAAGTATAAAACACAAGAATTCTTAGTGAATATAAACAACTCATTCATTGTAGATATTGAATTTACGAGATGTATCATTAAATGCATATATTATAATTTAAATAATTATAATTTTCCCCTCTCATTTAATAGACTATTGAACACTTTATTAACCTTAAATCCAAAATCACAATATCATCATCAAAAAAAAATAATCGTTACGAAATCATACCATTGCCTAAACTAAC